CCCTCACCCCCCCTCAGAGGACCATGGCTTTGAACCGGCCTATACACTCTACTTTCAAGCCCCCTCTCCTTCGCGTAGGACACCAGTTCTCTTACCTTTTTAGATGGTGGTTCTTCTTGGGAGTCATAGGGCATGTAAACTGACCCTATGAGTAGATCCAAGTACTTGTCCTCGTCGTAGTCCACCCTTGTCCGTATAACAGTGGTGTCTCCGTCGCTGAGCTGTGACATAAAAATAGCATTTAGTCCCTTAGTTACAATACAGGTCCTAATTTTGTTCTGAGTGTCTGCTTTATAGATAGTACCACAGCCACTCAGACCCATTATAGCGTTATTCAGGAGCCAAGGCTCCTGTATTATTGCTATTGCTGTCTGCATCACAGTCATGCTCCTGCCTAAAATCGCCGAGGCGCCTTTGCTGTGATGCAAGTATATTAATTTGGACTATTCGTACTGCGAGTCCCGCCATTTCTAAGCTGACCCGCTCGCACCAGCAGTCACTCCCTCCTTGCGTTCTTTGTCATGCAACCTTACGGTTGCCCGACCCAGCCCGCAGAAGGGTTTAAAACCACAGGTCTTTAGGACCTCCAGCGAGCGATCGCCGATCAGAGCCGCGAAGTGGGCGCTTTTCGCGTCCCTACTTGCGCTCCCCCTCACGACGATCCACTCCCTGGCGTCCAGACCCGTGTTTTGTCTGTCAAGAAGCTTTATAGCTTCCTCGACAGCCAAATCCGACTCCTCCACATGTACCACCACCCGATGGCGCTTAGGTAGCTCCCCGGCCGGTAGCACATGCAGAGCAGTGCTTCCGATCTTTATCACGGTGGAAAGGCTTTTCAGCCAGTCCACCGTCTGCTGGTTGGCGCAGTTAAAAATAACTGCGCCATCCCTCTCCCAGATGCCAGTGAAGGTGGGCGCTAGCCCATTCTCGGGAAGTTCGAGGATGTGCCTCCTGACCAGTCGCCTGATCTCCTCCACCTCACTGGCATCCAGTTTTTTCCCAGGATAGCCTTCTGGAACGAAGGCCATCCTGGTCATGCCCTTAATCGCCTGGGCATACGACCCTTGGTCGATGACCTTGGGTCTCTTGCCCGGGCGATTCTCCGTCGGACTGGGCGTTTGGTGCACCGGTTTGGCACGCTTCTGCGTTTCCACCGTCGCACCACTCTCCCCGCCCGGCGGAGTAGGAGTATTTGTAGGAGAAGGAGAGATGGCTTTCTCAGCCCTCGCCTTCTCCTTATTGTAGCGGCGCCTTGCAGCCTCGCTGTAGCGAATGCGGGTCTTAGGTAGACCCGCACTTGCTGCTTTGTTCTCCTCCGGTTGTTCGCTCCCTAAGGAAGCCACCCCCTGGAAGACTTTGTTGAAGTTTATTTTATTATTATCGGTCTCCATTTTTGGTCCCACTAGTACCGCGGTCGCGCGATCTCACCCGGGCAGAGCCGCGAATGCCCGGGGCTTGGCTCCGTACTCCTGGAGTTCGCCCGGTATCCAGGAGGCACCGTTTGCGACGCAGCTCCCCCTGCGCCATGCAGTTCCAGGCACGGTAGCTCACACCCTAGCTTGGGGGGTTCCTCTTAGTAGGCCGCCCACGTGCCCCCCCCCCTGAGCGGGAGGACCCCGTTTGCGACCAAAAGCCCCACCACCCGCCCCGGCACGGGAGCCCGTAGCCCCCGAGAACGCCAGGCGTACCTGGATGTGGTCAAATGTTCCCCCCTCGGTTTTTCTACCTCGGGGCCCCGTGAATTTTTCTTACTCGAACAAAAATTTACAACTATTTATTCCACCCATCAGAACTCTTTTGAGAGCAGGCCGCCATGTTCTTTTTCCGAGTCATTAACAGATTGGTACTCTGGAATTATAAGCAATAATTTTTCATTTTACGGGCTAGTATAAATTTCAAAACGAATCACAATAACCGACTTTTATATTTTGTGCACTAAGAATAACATTGTTGTATCGATGTAATTGAATATGTTTATTGAATATATTAAGTACAAAGTAATGAGAGGTCTCGGCCTCATACAGGTTATCTTGTACGTAGTCGTCGAGCTTCTTCGGAAGCATAATGCTCTCCTCAAGAGCGTGCTCGTTACGCATAAAAATCCGTTGGTCGTCATCGGCCAATGAAATCCACGCTGTCGCATGCGTGCGCATAGGTTTAAGAATTCAGTGGAGAGGGAAACCGAGAGCGGTGCCGGTCGCGGCCGTCCGTCTCAGTACAACGCTCGTCCTTTCTTTTCTCTCACACACACATGCATATATACATCTCGCTAAGTGGGCCCACAGCTGGTCAATACGTTACATACTCCCCCCGTTGCGAGGGAGTACCGAGCAATGATCACACATGTTTATATAAGATCGCTTATTTTCGTCGATAAATATGCTTACTAGCTATATCATAATCGTTTGATGCTATTTCTCGATCGGAAGCGGACATGTACATTTTACTGAACGTTTAAAGGTTCCTGTGCTTGTTTTGATTGTGACGGTTCGTACGATTCCATCTTCGCCGGGATGAGTCTCTATAACTCTGCCTAGGGCCCATTGCGTACATGGTAAGCCCTTGTTCTTGAGGAAGGCGATGGTTCCGACGTTGATTGTTCCTTGATCCATTTATGACGTACTTGGAGTTCATTAAGATATTTTGTGCTCCAACGTCTCCAAAAATCTTGCCGCACCTAATTGATGTGCTGCCACGTGGAGAGACGATTACCTGGGACAAACGAGAGATCAGGCTCCGGCAAACCAATCAACGGTCGACCGATCAAGCAATGAGCAGGTGTTAAAACTAAAGGATCATTAGGATCGGTTGATAGAGAGGCAACAGGTCTAGAATTTAGTATTCCTTCAACTTCTGTGACAAAAGTATTTAATTCCTCGAACGTGAACAAGAACTACCGACTACTCGTTTAAAGTGATGTTTAAATAATTTGACTGTGGATTCCCACAATCCACCGAAATGTGGAGCGACGGGAGGAATAAAATGCCAGCTGATGTGATGCTCAGTGGCAAATCGATTTGTTTTGTTTTTATGTTCATCAGAGTTAAAAAGAACGTATAATTCTCTTAATTCATTGTTTGCTCCGATGAAATTGGTTTCATTATCGGAATAGATATGCGATGGAATACCTCTTCTAGATATGAAACGCCGTAATGCACCGAAAAATCCTTCGGTAGTCATATCGCTCACGATTTCTAGATGTACAGCCTTTACTGTCATGCATACGAAAACGCATACGTAAACCTTGACTCGATTTCGATTTCTGTATTTTTTTTCTTTGATATAGAATAGTCCGCAGAAGTCTATACCGGTATTGTCGAAAGGGAATGCGCTGTGTACTCGCGCGCTTGGAAGATCGCCCATTTTATAATTAACTATACCGGGATTGAACCGATAACAGCGTACGCATGATCGTACTATTTTACGCGTTTGATTTCGGCCTGTTGTACCTCTCGGTGCAACAAGATATTAATTTGGGATTCGATCCGCTCAAAGGGTTGGAACCCACGAGGAAAACGAGGAAAACGAGGAAAGTGGTCAAGGTCGTAGAACAAACACACACTGCACCACACTTTTATTAAAATAACCCCTTTTATTTATTATAACACTTACAATTTCGAGTAGTTATTACCACTGATTACATTTATTCAAGTAATCGTAACCCTTTATTTAATTATTATAATTACCCGATTGAATGATTACACTTTGGTGGTTAATTGCTTATGTTACAATTCGAATAGTTGGTTACAATTGTCGAATTGATTTAATTAAAGAATATATTCGGGTTAAAGTCCTCGCTCGTGACTTAGACCGGTCGGCGACACTCGTTATCGCGGATGTAATATGACTCGGTTCTCGCGACGCGCGTAACGTATCGTTACGTTTAGATGTATGACAAGACTCTCTCGCCGGTCCTTAGACCGCCGAATATATAGGCGTCGCGGAGTCATCGAACTAGCGGCATTCGTGCCGTGTGCAACGCGGACTTCGTCCTCTTGCATTTCGGCAGTTCGTTGTCCTGTCGAAATGCAAGATTTGCTTTTTATTAATAATTGTTCGATGTGCGTGCGGTCATTGCTTGCGTTCGATCAGTGATCGTTGTCCGCACGCGTTATGGAATTTGCAGCCTTGCATTTCCGCAAGTCGTTGCTATGCCGAAATGCAAAGGTTGCTTTGCAGTAATAATCTTGCATTTCCGCCAGCTCGTTGTTAGGCTGAAATGCGAGACTTAATTGTGGTAGCACTCGTGGACTACAACATGCCATCCAAAATCCAGAACCTTTGTCTAACTGCGTATAACGTCATTTGAATGCCAGCGTGATAACGCCTCTCATGAGTCTCCTTAATAATGCTATCTGTCACAAAATGACGATTCGGCAATAAAATGGGATGTTTCTGTTCGAAGGTTAAATTTGAATCTTTAAGACGTCCACCGACACGGATCAGACTGTCTTCGTCGATAAAAGGGTTTAATGCCGCGATGTTATTTTTACTTATTGGTTGTTTATTTGCGAGTCTTTTTAATTCTGGTAAGAAACGAGAAGCTTGAACAATTTTGATTATTCTAATTTCTGCGTCGCTTATTTCCTTCATGCACAATTCATTTCGATAGGTATTCTTTGGTCGAAAACGTAGGCTCCATGCTATGATACGACACATTTGAGAATATGACGAATATTTTCGGAGGATATCGCAATCGTTGACCACTATGTTTAAACAAGTATTTTTTCGGCGCTCCGGTATTTCGTCTAGCTCTGCTATTCCCGATGGCCATTCGTTTTCTCTTTTACTTAACCACGGTGGCCCCGAGTTCCACGTACGATTATTTAAAGAAGCGTTTGGTAATTGCCCTCTCGAGAGCGCATCGGCCGGATTGTCATTGGAGCTAACGTGTCTCCACGCTTGTGCATCTGTCATTTCTTGGATTTGCGCGACGCGATGTGATACATATGTTTTTAAGAGATGAGGCTGCATTTTTACCCAATGGAGCACAATGGTCGAGTCGCTCCATAACACTACCCGATCAATCGGTAATTCTATCACGTCGTGTATCTCGCGATATAACCTTGCGAGTAAAAGTGCACCGCATAATTCGAGACGAGGTATGGACACGGTTTTTAATGGTGCGACCCGCGATTTGGCGCATAAGAGTCGGCAATATATGTTGTCGTGTCGATCGTTCGAACGGATATATAAACAAGCGCCGTAGCCTGTCTTGCTTGCATCACAGAAGCCGTGTATCTGAATGTTGGAGTAACCAGGAAACAAGACAGAGCGTTCGACGGAGAATTCACTAATCGACTCTAATTGTACTTCAAATACGGACCATGCGGCTTGTATGGCGGGGGGTATTGTGTCGTCCCAACCTATTTTATGTAGCCATAAGTCCTGCATTAATTTTTTGCCGTATAATATAACGGGTCCCACAATACCTAAAGGATCGTAGATACTCGCGAGCTTCGAGACGACCTCTCGCTTTGTGATTTTCTCGGTTTGTTTAACTGAACGTACAGAATAACATAGCACGTCATCACTCGCGTGCCACGTCAAGCCTAACGTTTTCAAAGGATGATTTCTATCGAGCGTGAGGCCCGCGTTTATAGCTTCGGGATCTAGATCATCGATGATTTGTCTTTCGTTTGACGCCCACTGTCGAATATTGAACCCTCCCCGAGATAGCAAGGCGATTATTTCGTTCCGTAATGTGCGAGCGTCTTCGATAGTGTTCGCACCAGTTAACAAATCGTCCACATATAAATGTTTTGTAAGAACTCGAGCTGCCTCGGGATAATTGACGCGTTCATCGTCCGCGAGTTGTTGAATCACGCGTATGGCCAGATAGGGTGAAGAAGATACGCCAAATGTCAAAGTATTGAGTTGAAAAGTTTTAACTTCATTATCCTGACGCCAAAGGATACGTTGATACATGCGATCGCTTTCATGCAATAACACTTGCCTGTACATTTTTTCTATGTCTGCCGAGAGAACGTATTTATATGTACGAAAGCGCAGGAGATGAGCGAATAATGGATTTTGAATAATGGGTCCCGTTAATAGAACATCATTTAGGGATAGACCGTTACTAGTCTTCGCCGACGCGTCGAAAACAACTCGAACCTTAGTTGTGTTGCTTGATGGTTTGATCACTGCGTGGTGCGGCATATAATACCCGTCCTCCGAAGAATCATCGATCGGAATCATCTGTTTTAACTTTAAATATTCTTGAATGATTTGTGAATAAGCTGTCTTTAATTCTAGATTCGAACTAAGCTTGCGTTCAAGTGAATATAAACGTTTAAGAGCGGCGTTTCGTGACTCGCCGAGCTGTTTGTGATCTTTACGGAATGGTAGCCGCACGACGTAGCGTCCATTATCATTGCGTGTAACATTTTCGGTGAAATGCGTTTCACAATTTACTTCCTCGATTGATCTCGGCGCGCTTCCCGTTATTTCTTCGATATTCCAAAATCTAGTGATGAGTTGATCCAGAGTCGTTAACGAACATGTAATATTTTTCGGACGATCAGGAAACCCTCCGCGCGCAACGATCCAGCCGAGTCGAGTATTTTGTAGATATAACTGGCCATCTTCGTTAGTTAAACTGATTTGACCGGATGAAAATAAAGATAGCGTCGCCCCAGCGCCGATTAATAGTTCTACTCGACGCGGCAAATGAAATGAGGGATCGGTTAATTCGATATTGGACGGTATTTTAATAGAGTTCCGTGGGAATTTTTCAGATGGTACTAGATCTGCTATCGTCGGTATCGTCAAACATACTAATTCCTTGTTAAACTTGTTATCCAGCGATCGAATAATAACGCGAAGGACGCCCTTTGTCATTGTATTTGTCGAGTTAATTGCACTGATCGGTAATGCGCACGACGTAATCGGAAGTCTTAGACATCTTGCGAGGTTATGAGAGATAAAGTTGGCAGTGGCGCACGTATCCAGCAACGCGCGACACTTGATTAGCTTGCCTTTATGATCTTGAACGGATATCATCGCGGTGGTCATTAGTTGCGGCGTGATAGTGGGTGAAATCATTGTAAGACAGGTGGCGCCGTCGCCGACCCTCCCCCCCCCGCCGCGCCATC